CAGCTCTGTGCCACAAATGAGTCACCATAACAGATTTTCAACTACATTTCAACTCGTCTTTGGTTGCAAGATTTTTATTTTGTTTTTGTTTTTAATTTTAAAAAAAGACAGGGAAAAAAAAACACAAAACCACGACAGAACCAAATGAAAGAACAAATTAAAAAAGCACTCAGAATATTTGTTACATTATCATCATCATCATCATCATCATCATCATTATTTTTTTTTTTCAAGTCACTTCTAAGCCCCACAGTTACAAATAAATTAACAAGACAGGATCAGACCCCGGAAGATTAAAAATTTAAAAAAAAAAAGAATACTAGGAACTAACTACCTTTGGCAAAGTTATCACACGATTTTCCCACTGCTCCCAGGTCGGCTACAGCAACAGGCCAGTCTTGTTGGGGTGGTGTCGGCAAGAAACTGGGTTCTAGCGCAGCATCCTTCATGCAAAGGCCAGCCCATTTGATCCACTCCTCTAGGGCTATCAAACTGACCGACCCTCCTGGGCGTATACACGATATTCCCTTTTTTTCACATAACCTCAATACCGGTCAGAGTTGATACGAGAGCAACCTGGAGAAGCCAGTTCATGGAAGGCAGAGGACCCTCCATTAGACCCGAACCTGGTCACAGTCAAGGTTTCTAAAGGAGATTCGTGTCCGACGAGAAATAAAAATCCAGCTTCAATTTTCTTTGATACAAAAATGCTCTTGCATCACAGCTGAATTCCAGCTATCCTCCAATTTAACCCTGATGTACAAAGTGCCAGTTACATCGGGGGAAGTCAGGCTCAAGGAGCAATTGTCCAGCCCCTAGTGTGTCTTTTTTTTTTTTTTTCCCCCCCCCCACGTCTTTGTGGATGCAGTCTTCAGTCCTTAGCATGGTTCCATCATCCTAACCACGTTGTCCTTTTCCAGGTTGATAGATGAAGCAGAACCCTAGAAGCTCACCTGAATAGATCAGATTTCATTGGACCTGGGCTGTCCTGCTGATTCCCCCCCCCCGATGGGGTGAGAGGATGCTGCGCCTGATCCCCACCACCCCAAACAGACCTGTACGGCACACACCCTTAATAAAGCTTTTCTATTTGGTTTATCATTAAAGTATATGAGGTATATGGCGGGCTATCTCCAAAGAGCCTTGTGGTGGATGTCTTGGCACTGTTAAGGAGAGGGAGGGGGTGGTTAGCCTGTCTCCCTCCCTTGTGGCCCCCCCCCCAACCCTGGGTCAGGCACTGGCACGGAGGCGTGTGAGCAAATATTTGGTTTGACAGCTTTGGTTTTACTTTACTTCCTTCCTCGTTCTAAAACTCCTAGGAGTGGGCAGCTCAGCAAAGAGAATGCAGCTATTTTCTAAGCATCTTCTTTAAAAAAAAACAACCCCCCAAAAAAACCAGCCAGTGGAAGTAGTACGTGGACTAGAGACGCCTAGTTGGTTATGGACTTCGTACTATCATGCCGCATAAAATCATCGGCCAAATTAGAACTAAAGATCAGGCAGTCTTGCTCTGGATCAATCGTCCCTATATCAAAATAAGTTTTTTTGTTTCATGTCTTATATATAATCACCAATTTGGGAGGGAAGGGGAGATAGTGACGTCCCCGTGGTTTACATGTCTCTCCCACATCTCCTTTCCTAAAGCTAACGCCAGACAATCTTAAATAAGAGTGCCATCACTGCTACAACGTGCTTGAGTCTATTTTCTTCTGTCCCACTCTGCTCAAAACATTTGGCTGGTTTTTGAAGGCAAAAAAGGGAGCAATTAAACAGCCACCCCTTTTTTGAACCTTTTTCATCTTTCTGAAAAAGCTGATGCTCCTCGTCTCCAGGTTGACAGCAACCTAACCTACTTCCCAACATCCTTACCTGCCCTATACATCTTGACAGTTTTCCCTCCACGCCATTCAACCACCACTCAGCTCCATGCATGGAGATAGGGTCATTTTTGGTCTAGAATCAATTCTTTTTTTAAAAAAAACAAAACAAACACATTTTGGTTTTTGGTATTTTTTTTTGTTGTTTTTTGTTTCGTTTTTTTTCCCTTTTTATCTTTTTTTTTTTTGGTTGCAAACCTTTTAAGCGTTTGTTTGTTTTTTTTTGTCTTTTTTCTTCATACAGTAAGAAGCGATAAAGCGGAACATAGAATTTTCTCTATTAAAAAAAAATAGATACCCCCCCAAAAAAAAGTAAAAATGAAAAGAAAAATAACAAAGATCACTAAAACAGTTACATTCCACCTAGAAACACGTTCAGTAGCACGAGAGAGAGAGAGAGAGAAAACGAGAGAAATATTTCTCTCCAATGTTTTTTTTTTTTCCCCAGATGTCCACCATTATACCATAAACTGAAATCTTAAAAAGGGCTGAATAAATACTTGGCAGTTCTCTCTCACTCACGCACAGAATGGGATGAAAACTTTTTTCTTTTCTTTTTTTCAAGTCAATCTTTTAAATTAGGTGTTTCCTGGTTTGTTTGTTGTTGATTGATTTCTGTTTTGGAAAGTTTCACAGTATTTTTTTTTTCTTTGCTTATCTCAAACCCACCTGAACGTTATAGCACGGCAAAAGCAGGAGATAAAATGAGGTTGAGGGTTTTTTGTTTCTGTCCTTTAAGAAAGGTTCAAAGTCCTTTATTTTGTAGTTTGCTTGTTTATCTTTTTTTTTTTTACGCTGTCCTTTTGTTTGGTTTTTGATTTCTACCGGATTGCAGTTATGCCATGGCTAACTTCCTTCTCTGCAACAGCAAAACTTTGGTTCGCAGGAGTTGAAAATAAAAGACAAAACATTCAAAGAGCCCCCAAAACATCAATTAACCCACCCAACATATTCAAAAAAAATAAAAACCCAAAACCCAGACCATCCAGTTAAAACGAAAACGAAGACCAAAAAAAGAAACGTACAAAAAAAAAAGTTTAAAAACAATAAAATAAAATAAAATAAAAAAGTGTTTTGAGAAGCCATTTTTAAAGCTTTCCAGACTTCTGGGAGAAAGTTACAGGATCTTCTGATCGCACCCTCCCCTTCAGTTGATTTGGTTTACTTAGTTGTCTCTTTGACATTTATAAAATCCTGGCTTCTCAACACAACTTTCCATGAGGTATTTTTTTTTTTTTTTTTAGGACAGAGAAAGACGGTTGAGCCATTTTGTCTTAACCAGAGAAAAGTAAAGGTCTCCCCTTTATTCCCATTTTCATCCTTTCTTCTTCATTTAAAAGTTTCTTGTGGTGATTTATTTTAGCTTCTTTTGTTCGTTTGGTTGGTTCTTTTTGGTTAAAAGTTTCTCTCTCGCCTCCGAGTCTCTGTGATACCCACTTTCTGAGAGGATTTTTTTTTTTTAATCTCTCTTCTGTCTTTGCTTTTATTTATATTCCCCAGTGGTCTTCATTTTTGTTGTTTTCTGTAGTGATGTCTACCAATTTTTGGTTTTTTTTTCTGAAAAATGTAAAGAATGCTGAAATTCCCATTTTTTTTGTGTGTTTTGGTTTTTGTCAGGCACTGGTATATGAGTATTTTTTTTTCAGAACACAGCTATAAAAATAATAATAAAAATAAAAATAAAAAACCACACATCCCCTGTTTTCAGAAAAATAACCCCTAATACTAACCCCAGGCAAAACCAATTAAAAAAATTTTTTTTTTAGCTAAGCTCAATAGAAAATTAAAGCTGGCAAAGAAAAGATTCAAGCTGATAAAAAAAAAGTACGGATTTAGTGCTGCCTATTCTTAAAAAGGTGAAGATTCAAGACTTTCAATAATGCTTCTTATCCTGCAAAAAGTACTTATATTATACACCCTCTGAGAAATCCAGCTAGTATTAATAAAGTAATTCAAGCTGGACGTAATTCCTTCATCCTTATTGTAGGAGTGGGAGAGTTTTTGAGAGAGACAGAAACGGGCATTGCAAATATCCGGGTTTTGATGCACCAAATGTTTGCAATGCATCCATATCTCAAGAGGGAATTCAACATAGAAATTTTGTAAACTGGTTCCCCACCTCCTTCTTGCTTCAAGCCCCAGACAATTAATATAGATATTGGCTGGCAAGTAATCTGAATTTTGTGATCACAAACTGCTTCAGTGGAGCCCATCTCTTTGCAAGCAAGAAGCAGCAGAAATAACTTCAGAAAAACTCATTGCAGGACATCAGTCAAGACACCAGCTTCCATAGTGGGAACCCGGTGTCTGATTTTCATTATTGCCTTTGAAAATCCTAGTCTTCATTCCTTATAAGAATCCCCATATATGTATAAAGCTTTGTATTTGTTTCATTTAAAAAAAAAGAGAGAGAGCAAAACAAGCAGAAACATTTGTTAACCATTTAAAAAATAAAAGAACATATTTATAGGAAGATCCTAAAATGAAATCAATCCGTTCTTTTCCTGCCCAACCCTTTCTGGATCCAAGGAAAAGAGAAAGAATAAATAAGAATAAATAAAAGCATTTTGAAAGACATTCGACCAGACACTGAAGATAGAAAAGTTTGTAAAAAGCTTTGGGTGAAGCTAGAACTGGTGATTTTTTTGGTGTGAGATTTGTATTCCCCTTAAGGATTTTTTAAAGGTTCTTTTAAAAGTATTTTTTTTTCTTTTTCTTTTTTTTTTACAAAAAAAATTATCCCCATTTATTGGTTTCCTTTCTGATACTGTCCAGGAAACGAGCAGATGAAAAAAAAAAGATAAATCATTAAAAGAAATCAAACAGACCATCGACTGTCACCTTTTGCAGAGGGGAAAAACAAATGAATGCCAAAGATTTGGGGAAAGTTTTTTTTTTTTTTTTTGGTTTCTTCCTTTCCCCCCCTTTTTGCTTTGCTTGTTTGCTTTAGGTTATTATTATTTTTTGGTTTGGTTTTTTTTCGTTTGGCTGTTGCTGACATTTCTTTGTTTGGTTTTGGTGGTGTTTTGGTTTGCTTGGGTTTTTTGTGGTTTGGTTTTTTTTTGGTTTCATGTGTCGGTTTGTACGTCCACTCCTGGCTACCCCCGCCGTGTCAGAAAAGGCAGCGTGGATGCTCCTGAGTCCTCACTCCATCTTGGCATCCGGTTCGGTGGATCCAGGACCAACTTGCCCCATTGTCTGCGCCATGTCAGTGGAGGAGCTGCATGAGGAACAAGAGGAGGAGGAAGAGGAAGAGGAAGAGGAGGAAGTCAGGGTAGGGGACTTGCTAGGCATAGAAGCAGCCATGGCAGCAGCTGCTGACACCAGCCCCACGCCTCCGGGGGCAGCACTCAGCAAAGGCAGGCCCGCGTGGTTGAGGAAGAGCGGCGAGGTCACGATGCTCTGGCTTCCAGTTGTGCCTGCAGTGGTACCCAAAACCAAGTTACCACTGGCATCAAGGCTGGTAATTGGCAGGCTTCCACCAGTGGCCAGGGCTACACAAAGAGAGAGAGAGAAAAAAAAAAAACATTGTTTAGGCCACATCTGCAATGGCTTCCCGCCCTTGGCCTTGGGATCAATATAGAATTGGTCCAAAGGAGAGAGAGAGTGCCAACATTGCCCTCTTGAAGGATATCTCTGGCAGGAAACCGTTCTTATCTTTGCGCCAAATATTTTAGAGGCTTCCTCTTTGGGGATTCTTCTCCCATGTCAAAAAAGACAGGTAGAATTGAAATGGCACTTCCTGGTCCCTCCCACAGCTCTTGCCGTTTCTTTCCCCCAACATGATTCACACGGAAAAGACACAGGGTGCGGGAAGACAGGTCGCACAATCAATGATTAGCATATGTGATGTGAAGGATGCATGTCATGGAGCGCGAAGCCTTCCGCTATGCGCAAATTCAAGATGGAATGGAGAAAGACCGCAAGATGAATGAGGAGAGGTTGTGAGGGACTCCACTGACTGGCTGCACTCTCACACGCCTGTACTACACACTTGCACACCGGCTCCCAAACAATCATTAGGTCGGACCAAGTTGTGGATTAGAGGCATAATTCAGTAAGAACACCCTTGAAAGAAGAAACGGTGTGCTTTCTCTTTATCGCACTGGGTTAGACAATTTCTATCTGCACAAGTCCCAAAAGATCTGCAAAAGATCTTAGATGAAGCAAATTATCTGGGTCAGGATTCATACCAGGGTCCTGGCTGAAAAGAACCCAGATAATCAGCTTTACCACACCAGGGGGTGAGGGGGTTAGAAATGGCATTGATTGCTCTTGTGGATGATAAGAGTCAACAATCTGTTTGGTCAAGTCCAATCTTCAAATATCATATAAGGACTTGCACAGAATCTCCTGTTTAATTCCAGGTGGAGATCTACAATTGGGATCATCCCTATTATTTGTTCATTTGATTTAAGAGCCGCCTGATTCCAAAACACCTCTGGTGGTTAACAATTATAATTGGGGAAAAAATTAAAAAGAACTGATGGGGTTTGGATAAACCACACATGTTGAGGATACCTCACTTCAAACTGATGGATGATCTTTCCTGTTGGCTTCTTATATGGGGTAGAAGTTAAATATGAGTAGTATTGCCGACTGGCTGAGGAATTCTGGAAACTGGAAGTCCACAGGTATTAACGGACACCCCTGAAATACATCCTGGCCAAATGTCTCCTCCAATAGCTCTGGAAGAGCTGATGTTCCCAAAGGAACAAGCTAATGACTTGGACACACTCCTGAATTTACAGCTTCATTCTACACCTAATAAACGCCTTATACATAATCAGTTACAATCTCTTCAACCATGGGGCAACTATAGTTACTTTATCCTCACACACACACACACACAAGCAAGCATCTCCCAAGCTTCGTCAGACAAGCAGCAATCCACGGATGTTGTGCGCCCGACATGCAGCCTCTACAACCTCGCACCCATTCCTTTGCACAGTTTTTCTCTCACGCCAGCCAGCCCGTGGAGTGAATGGCAGCCACGACATCAAGGGTTTCCGTCTTTCTTTCACAAACCTTGTATGGTGGCCAGTGGGTTGGTGGCCATTAGCGCTGAGTTTAACCCTGCATTCACCCCTAGCACTGTGCTTCTGCAATCAAACCAAAGGCAGCAAGTTAAGGCGGGGGCTTCGAGGGGGGGGCAAAGATGATCACGCTCTTGTCACCCTCATCCCCGTTTTTCCTCTCCAGTGTGTCCAGGAATGTATCGGTAGAATCCAACTTACAATAGAGATTTTATAGCTTATCCTCAAACTCGCCGCACCACGTGACGTGTCGCGACGTATCGTGTCTTTTTTCGCATCGCCGGAGCTGGGGTGGGCACATCCTCCGCATGATGCAACCGGCTTGCGGGCCGGCAGTTTGACACCCCTGCTCTAGAGCAAAAGTGGGGAACTACGGCCTCTTTACGACTTGTGGACTTCAACTCCCATGGCTGGCTCAGGAATTCTGGGAGTTGAAGTCCACGAGTCATAAAAGGGCCATAGTTCCCCACCCCTGCTCTAGGGTAAGGTCTGCCCCCAGCCTCCTATCGAAAGACTTGGCTCTGCTGGGTGGCCTGGGGTTCAAACGGCGGGGTTCCATTCTGGAGGTGGCTGCTGGATTGATGGCAGATTCCACCTCCGTCCCCTTCCGTTCTCCACCCGTCCATCTTTTTCCGTTATGATATTGATGCATTCTCACTGTGTTCTTTTTCATTGTTTGTTGTATTGTTCTATTATCTTACTACTGTTCCGTTTACACTCTTTTCATTTCTTCCTTTTTATTGTTGTAAGCGGCCTAGAGCAGGGGTAGGCAACCTCGGCTCTTTTATGACTCGTGGACTTCAACTCCCAGAATTCCTGAGCCAGCATGGCTCAGCATGGAAACCTCTCGCTTCTCCCTCAGCACGGCTGGCTCAGGAATTCTGGGAGTTGAAGTCCACCAGTCATAAAAGAGCCAAGGTTGCCTACCCCTGCCCAAATGCCTGAATTTTGATCATGTGACCGTGAGGAAAAAACATTTAAATATTTAAACCAGGGGTCTTCAAACTTGGTCCTTTTATGACTCGTGGACTTCAATTCCCAGAATTCCTGAGCCAGCATGGCTCAGCATGGAAACCTCTCCCTTTCCCCTCAGCGTGGCTGGCTCAGGAATTCTGGGAGTTGAAGTCCACGAGTCATAAAAGAGCCAAGGTTGCCTACCCCTGGCCTAGAGTAACCTCATAGCAAGATAGGCAGCAAATAAAGGGAACAAATAATCATTTCTCTTTCTCACTTGAATTGACTTACCTACTTATTATTCTGTCAGTTACTGAAGTGGCATAGAAATTCGCAATAAAAATAAACCCATAAATACAACAAGCCCCAATGTAAAAGCAGAGCTCTGAAGAACAGTTAAGCATCCCAAGCCTCTTTTTTTAAAAAAAAAATGGTTTGGGGACTTTAAATGAAGGACGGGCGTGTTACGGGTCCCATCGATTAGGAATCTACATTTGTTGGGACCACAAAAAAGGGCCTTCACGGCGGTGGCCCCTTCTCTACGGAACATCATTCCCCTCAACTTCAGAGTTGGCCCACACTCTGAAAGGCTTTTCTGAAAGATCCTAAAAATGTGGGTTTGTCGGTGGGCCTGGGGACCTCCAATGGAGACAGGGCCAATCAAGATGATTTGATTGTGTTATTGCTGCCATGGGGGGTGGGAGTGGGGTTCATAGGTGGATTTTAAAATGTGCCCAGCATCATCTCTGTGTGAGTTGGGTGGCTGTATAAATGTGTTAAATAAAGACAGAAACCCAGAGGTTAGTCCCCGCGGCTCAAATGATAGTAGTGTTCCAATATCTCAGGGGCTGCCGCAAAGAAGAGGGGGTCAAGCTATTCTCCAAAGCACCTGAAGGCAGGACAAGAAGCCACAGATGGAAACTAACCAAGGAGAGAAGCAACCTAGAACTAAGGAGAAACTTCCTGACAGTTAGAACAATTAACCAGTGGAACAACCCGCCTCCAGAAGCGGTGAATGCTCCAACACTGGAAGTTTTTAAGAAGAGACTGGACAGCCATTTGTCCGAAATGGTATAGGGTTACCTGCCTGAGCAGGGGGTTGGACTAGATGACTTCCAAGGTCCCTTCCATCTCTGTCATTCAGTCAACGGGGTGTTAAAGCAGCTCCACCGAGGATCCCAGCCCAACCTCTGAAGGAACTCAACCCTCTAAAAGCTTTCCCAGTCTTGCCACTTACCCTGTACTGGGATTCAGGGCTTGCAAGCTGAGAGCTGGATGGCTGCTGCTCTGAGGGCTGGGATTTGTGCTGTTGCTTGGGGGTGGCGTGACCGAGTTGAGGGTGGTGCCCCCTGCTCCGACCGCTGTCCGACTGGGGGTTAGGGAGCAGATTGTTGGGGACAAGGTAGTAACTGTCCCAAAATAAGAACAGGAAGTTAGAATGAGAGCTTCGTGCAGAGAGCCCCCAAGAAGTGAGTTATTCTGTCGTCAGAGGTAGTCCTTGACGTACGGCCACAGTGGAGCCCAATATTTCCGTTGCTAAGTAAGACGGTGGTTCGGTGAGTTATGTCCCTTTTACGACCTTCCTTGGCATGGGGGTTAACAAAGGACCACAGTGGAGTTCACCTAGGGCAGGGGTAGGCAACCTTGGCTCTTTTATGACTCATGGACTTCAACTCCCAGAATTCCTGAGTCAGCACAGCTGACTCAGGAATTCTGGGAGTTGAAGTCCATGAGTCATAAAAGAGCCAAGGTTGCCTACCCCTGACCTAGGGCAAACTGACCCCAAACAAATCTAACTACCACACTATCCAGTTCTTGCTTCACTGAAAGAGTTAATGAAGACAAACATCACTCACTCAGATCTGTCATAAAAGGGACACGTTTGGAAACCCCTGACCTAGTGGGATATACAAGATTCGACCTCCCCCCCCCTCCCTTTTAATCCACAAAACCTCAACCCTGTGAGGTTGGACTTCAAAGGAGGACGGGATTCTCCCCCTGCCTAAGTTTAATATGCAACTTGCAAACGACAATGGTCCAGTTTGCAAAATATACGGTAGGGGAAGTCAAATCCCAGCAAAGGGATGAGAGCAGAATTTCTCCACTTGGAGAGATGTAGATTTTGGTTTCCCAGAATTCCCTGAGCAGATTTAGACACTGCTGAGAATTCTGGGAGTGGAGGTCGACACGTCTGGAGTCGTCAACATCTCTCTTTCCCTCTCTCTTCTATTTTTCTCTCCTCGTCCGAATGTCTGGAGAGATTATGGCCACCGTGGAGCCCAATATTTCCGTTGCTAAGACAGACAGTGGTTCAGTAAGTTACTTCCCTTTTACGACCTTCCTTGGCATGGGGGTCAACAACTGCATCCCGGCAGTGGTTGCAGGTGACACAGCTGTTAAATGTTCCCACTGGCTTTGTGAGAAGGTTGCAAAAGGGGATCCCATGACCCCAGAAGACTGCAAGCAAGTGCCCATCCCCCCCCGCCCCCTGGTTTCAGGCATCCAATATGCTCAACCTCTGCTTTTGTCCTCTTAACAGTCCAGGGTCCCAACTATCTCAAAAACCCCTTTGTGGGTCAAAGATCAGGATGCTCTTATATTCCTGGGTTGAATGACATCAGTTTTGCCCAGTCCCAACGTTCCAACTATTCTAAAGGGAAATAAAAGGAAAATAAGGTTCCTCCTCCAAAAAAGGGGGGACGTGTACCTGTTGTGCTCAGACTACTGGAAGCCTGGGAGAGGGGCAGACTTGTGCCGGTGCCTGGGCTGGTCACCTGAGGAACAGAAATACATAGAGACAAGGATTTGTCACTGGCATAATGGATAGACACATGTAGCGGTAGCAAGCGTTCCCTCGCGCATCACCAGGGGGCAGGGATGACCTTCCAAAAGTGCTTTTTAGGACTTGTTGAATGGAGGAGATGGCATCAGCCATAGTGTGGAGAGCACGTTGATGACAACCAATTGTATCTCTGAACCCCTGGCTGGCCAAGAGATGCTGCCAAGCCTTGTTCTAGACCAGGGGTAGGCAACCTTGGCTCTTTTATGACTGGTGGACTTCAACTCCCAGAATTCCTGAGCCAGCATGGGGGAAACTATGGCCCCTTCATGACTGGTGGACTTCAACTCCCAGCATTCCTGAGCCAGCATGGCTCAGCATGGAAACCTCTCCCTTTCCCCTCAGCATGGCTGGCTCGGGAATTCTAGGAGTTGAAGTCCACGAGTCATAAAAGAGCCAAGGTTGCCTAACCCTGTCCCAGGGCCTGGAGGCTGTTGGGAATCTGGATGGGGAGGCACATTTGGCTTAACCTCTACTTCAGCAGCTGTAGGTTCATGGACCAGTCAGTACTGAGGATTTTCCAAGCTGAGTTCTCTGTTGGGTTGTATTTCCCCAGATGGAACTGGCATGCAGTTTGGGGGTTTACCTGCACTGGTTTACCTGCTCAGGGTTGAACATTATAGGTCTATAATTTGAAGGTGCTTCTGACACAAATAAAGAATCTGCACTGATAGGTCCTGCTTTATGACCCCGTAGTCCCTAATTGGGGTAGAGTCGGGATGACTGGATGGAGTTGAACATTTACTGGCCGGATGCCCTTCCTGACACCTATGCAGAGTTCACAGCAGATAATTTTTCCTTTTCACCTTAGGAGAGAAATAACTACCTACCGTAGGATTGAAATTTCTAGCCTTCCGAGTGGGAGGCAAGCGTCTTCATCAGTAGACCACCAGCTGCTCATTCAGATTTTGTTTGTGTGCGTGTGTGTGTGTAAAGTGTGTGCAGTATATACACTAGATAGGATAGATCAGAGGTGTCAAACTCGCAACGTCACGTGACGTGTCTCGACGTATCACGACTTTTTTACATTGCCGGCAATGGGGTAGGCACGGTTTCGGCATAACGCATCCGGCCCGCGGGCCAGCAGTTTGACACCCCTGGGATAGATGGATGGACGGACGGACGGACGGACGGACGGACGGACAGACAGATGATAGATAAGATAGATGATAGATAGATAAGATAGATGATAGATAGATAAGATAGATAATAGATAGATAGATAGATATATTAGATAGATAAGATAGATAAGATAGATAAGATAGATACATAGATAAGATAGATATATAGATAAGATAGATACATAGATATCTATATATATAGATAGATAGCTAGATAGATATATTAGATTGATAAGATAGATGATAGATACATAGATAATATATACATACATACATACATACATACATACATACAGACATACAGACAGACAGACAGACAGACAGACAGACAGACAGATAGATAGATAGATATATTAGATAAGATAGCTAGGTAGGTAGGTAGACAGACAGACAGATGCTGAATAAGCGGCATGGTGATCTAGTGATGCAGATGCTCACCTCCCACTTGTTCTTGTTTTGTATTCCTGTACCCCTTTTGGTGTGTGTGTGTGTGTGTGCGCGTGTGTGTGTGTGTGTGTGTGTGTTTTGTGTAGTAGGGCTGTAGAAGAAGGGCAAAGAAAGGGGTACGGGAAGTACAAAACCAGAAGACAGCAGGCAAAACTCACGTCAGACGTGTCCCTGAAGGGACTTTTGCAAATGTCAGCATCCCATGGGAAAGCCACAAGACGGGTCAACTGAGGCAGGCTGTCAGGTAGGAGGGAAAAGTGGGAATTCACCATGAGAGGGCTGTAGCCAGCAGGCTTGCTCTGGGCAGGCAATATGGGAGCAGAGCTGCAAGGGTTGATCCGTTTCTCTTTCTGGCGGCGGTTGCAGAACCAGACACGAATCACCTCCTTCTCCATGTTCAGCTGTTCGGCAATAAGTAGGATCTCCTCTGAGGTAGGCTTCTGGTTCTGTCAGGGGAGATAGAAGGGTAAGGGCAACATCCGGCCGTGGGGAGCAGTGAATAGCAAGCAGCAGGACAGGGAACTATTCTTTTAGGGTCTGAGAAATGGATAAAACGGATTGTATAGCCGCCCGTATTACCTGTATTACCTGTTGGTTCCAGGTAATTCTCGAGTTAGGGCCACAATGGAGCCCAAAGTCGCTAAGCAAGACACTTGTTAAGTGAGTGTAACCCCATTTCATGACCCCATTTATTGCAACAATTGTTAAATGAATCACTGCAGCTGTTAAGTGAGTGGTTGTTAAGCGAATCGGACTTCCCCGTTGGCTTTGTTTGTCAGAAGGTTGCAAAAGGGGATCGCATGACTGCGGGACACTGCGACCGTCATAAATATGAGACTCCAGGACACTGCGACTATCACAAATAGGAGACTCTGGGACACTGCGACCGTCATAAATAGGAGACTCTGGGACACTGCAACTGTAATAAATAGGAGACTCCGGGACACTGCGACTGTCATAAATAGGAGACTCCGGGACACTGCAACCGTCATAAATAGGAGACTCCGGGACACTGCGACTATCACAAATAGGAGACTCTGGGACACTGCGACCATCATAAATAGGAGACTCCGGGACACTGCAACTGTAATAAATAGGAGACTCCGGGACACTGCGACTGTCATAAATAGGAGACTCTGGGACACTGCGACCATCATAAATATGAGATTCCGGGACACTGCAACTGTCATAAATATGGGACTCTGGGACACTGCGACCGTCATAAATATGAGCCAGTTGCCAAACCTCTGAATTTTGATCATGTGACTACGGGGCTACTGAAACAGTGGTAAGCGTGCAAAACGGTCATGTCACTTTTTTTCCCACCACCATTGCAACTTCGAACAGTCATTGAACGAGTGGTGGCACGCAGAGCCCTCTCTGTGGACACGCACACCGTCGCCCCGGTCCTAGGCCTTCAGCTGGGTTTTATAAAACCTTTTCACTTTAGGCCTCCACCGCCGTGTGCAAAAAAAAAAGGTTCAATCAATCAGTCAATTTCAACTTCTCACGGGAAAAAAAAAGTTCTTGCAAAGTTGGAATTGATTGATTGCACTTTTTAGTCCCACCCAGTCTGCCGTTACCACCGCAGCCATGCCCACCCAAAGCGCCAAGCCCACCCAATTGAACACACCCACCCAATGGGCCACACCCACCCGGCACTCGATGATGCATAAGTGGGTTTTGGGTTGCAGTTTGGGCACTCAGTCTCTAAAAGGTTCGCCCTCACTGGTCTATTGATCTGAAGAGGGAAGGGATGAGGGAAGGGTTAGGGCTGCCCTGGAGGGGACGGTTTTTACCGCTAGAAAGCTTTTTTCCAATGCAAAGCGGACATTGGTCTCAATGCTGGTCCGTTTCTTACGACGTCGGCCCGGCAGCCCGTCAAAACCCAGGTTGGGGCTGCTCAGCTGGTTGGGGCTGGGAAGCGTGGAGTCCACAGACATTGTCTCTGTAACATGTTGAGGACAAACATTTAGTTTAACGAAGAGAAGGACGAGGGGGGACATGATAGCAGCGTTCCAATATCTCAGGGGCTGCCCCAAAGAAGAGGGAGTCAAGCTCTTCTCCAAGGCGCCTGAAGGCAGGACGAGAAGCAACTTGGATGGAAACTGATCAAGGAGAGAAGCAACTTAGAACTAAGGAGAAACTTCCTGACAGTGAGAACAATTAACCAGTGGAACAACCTGCCTCCAGAAGCGGTGAATGCTCCAACACTGGAAGTTTTTAAGAAGAGACTGGACAGCCATTTGTCTGAAATGGTGTAGGTTTCCTGCCTGAGCAGGGGGTTGGACTCGATGACCTCCAAGGTCCCTTCCAACTTTATCATTATTATTATTATTATAACACTCTATGACTCGACCCCTCCTCTTTCCATCTCTCTTCTTTCCTCGACCTTCCTCCTCTCCAGAAATGGCGTCTTGCCTTCTGGTGCTTTGGAAAATAGGTTGACCCCTTCTTCTTTGTGGCAGCCCCTTCAATATTGGAACAATACTATCGTGTCTCCCCTAGTCCTTCTTTTCACTAGATTAAACATATCCAATTCCTGCCACGGTTCTTCGTATGTTTTAGCCCCCAGTCCCCTAATCATCTTTGTTGCTCTTCTCTGCCCTCTTTCCAGATCCTCGACGTCTTTTTTTTTATATTGTGGTGACCCAAACTGGAGCAATAGCTTATGTGTGAATGCCGCTGGGTCTTCCCTGTTATCTTCATTGCAACTTTTCAGAATAACCTCCTTGACCGAACGTTTTTTTTCTTCTCTGGCATTCTTAACAAACCTCCCTCGTCCCATTCCCAGGGGGGTCATCCTGATCGGAGCTCAGCTTTATCACCCTCCACCGTCTTTCCTTACCAGCGTCATTCAGCCATTTCTCCAGAAGAGGTTTGAGTTTGCACATGTTCTTGAAGCTGAGGTTCAGTGCCTCAAAGCGCGAGATGGTCGTTTGGCTGAAGTCATTCCCATAAAGCTTCCCCATAGCCAACCCCACATCGCCCTGGGAAGGATGGAGGGAAGAAAGGGGAGAGAAGCAATTACTGAGAGAACGCCAAGGCTTTGTGTGTGCATGCCACAATTCCCTGCAAATGTATTTCCACTCCACACACAGCTTCGTCTTCTTTCATGAGGCAGAGCTACATCTTACTCTTCCTCAACCGAGCCAAGCATTCCGAGCGTGTACCTGTGTGAAGCCCAGCTTGATGCGCCGTTGTTTGAAGGTGCGGGCGAACTGTTCCAGCTCCTCCAGGTCGCTGGGCTCCTCGGGGTGCGAAGGGGTCTCCAGGCATTTGGGCGGCTGTGAGTGAGTGAGGTGGGACTCGGAGAGGCCAGGCCGAGTCACTTGCTGGTGAAGAGGAAGAAATTTTTTAAAAAATGGGAATCTAAGAGACCCAGAAGGACCAAACATAAGTCCAGGCAGACTGTATCACCAAACTCAAGGGGAAAAATAATCTCACTAACTGACTATTATAACTGATGGGGACTGCAGCCAAGAAATTAAAAGACGCTTGCTCCTGGGGAGGAAAGCTATGGCAAATCTAGACAGCATACTAAAAAGCAGAGACATCACCCTGCCAACAAAAGTGTGTATAGTCAAGGCCATGGTTTTCCCAGTTGCAATGTATGGCTGTGAAAGTTGGACCATAAGAAAGATGAGCACCAAAGAATGGAGGCCTTTGAACTCTGGTGCTGGAGAAGACTCCTGCGAGTCCCCTGGACTGCAAGGCCTTCAAACTGGTCAGTCCTAGAGGAGATCAACCCCGACTGCTCTTTAGAAGGCCAGATCCTGAAGTGGGAACTCAAGTCCTTTGGCCACCTAATGAGAAGGAAGGACTCCCTGGAGAAGAGCCTGATGCTGGGAAAGATGGAGGGCAAGAGAAGAAGGGGACGATAGAGAAGGAGGTGGCTGGATGGAGTCACTGAAGCAGTAGGCGTGAGCTTAAATGGACTCCAGAAGATGGTAGAGGACAGGAAGGCCTGGAGGAACGTTGTCCATGGGGTCGCGATGGGTCGGACACGACTTCGCAACTAACAACAACAAACTGATTATTTAATAGCCAATGCGATGCCTGGGCTAAGACGGGAGGCGCTTCCGTCCCTTCGTGAGCTGCAAAAGCCGTTTACTTCTTTCAGACTTTGGCGGGTCAGGAATGGACGTTATTTGCTCACTGAGATTCAGGGCTTAAATGCTTGCAACTGATTTCATCCTGGAGAACATGAACCAGCCTGATCATCTAGTCCAGTGTTTCTCAACCTTGACAATTTTAAGGCATGTGGACTTCAACTCCCAGAATTCCACAGCCAGCATTGCTGGCTGTGGAATTCTGGGAGTTGAAGTCCACATGCCTTAAAATTGTCAAGGTTGAGAAACACTGAATTATTTTATTCTAAGCAGAACAAAAAGAGGGCAAACCGAAATATTTGCGTGGTGTTTATTTCCTTCTTTACCTCGGCGAGCGTTTTACTCAGAGAAGCCTGTTTTTCTTTCCTTCCTTGCTCACCTGTGCTGGGAGTCCTGCACGAGGCTGGTTCGACAGGAGGCTCCCTGGATTTTGCTGAGGTAGCTGAAATAAATTTGGTGTCGGAAGCAGCCCTGTGGGGAAGTGAGGGAGGAAAAGACTCGGTTTAATCTCTGAAAAGGCCCAACATG